ATCTGCAAACTAACTATTCTAAGAACACATTATGCCTTTGATTCTGTAAAATTTGAACCAAAATCGAAAAAATATATATAGATAATTGACAAACCTTCGAAATTAGTGGCGCACACAACTGATCTCTGGTTTATTCTTCAAGATCCAAAGTAAAAGCATATGCTTCGTAAATAATTTCGATCGTGTTGTTTGTAAACCTTCATGACTTGGCCTTTTCTTAAATATGCCGACCTCTAAGCATTTTTTAATTGAGCTAACTGAATCTGGAAACTGTACTTTAATCCGATTTTTGTTTTCTTTTGTATTTTATGAATTATATTGGAGAAGGTAAGAGGTAGAGGCGTGATCTGATGGGAAATATGTTTAACCATTGCTTGGATGGGCTTTTATATAAAGTAAAGAGAACTTTTTAGCCGTCGGATTATGTGTGTCGAATGTGCACCGTTTGATCATGTCAAAATTAGATATTTATCACAACTGGCTAAAGCATTCGGGCTTCAATTGTGATGTCCTCTTATTGACAACATATATTGGTTTAATCTGACCCATCTATTTTCATTACAAAAATGATAGGACTGGTCCAATTACTTACTCATTTTGTCCTACTCATAATATGTGTTTATATAATATAACAAAAAAAAAATGTAAAAAAAAAGAATGTAAAAAAAAAAAAGATAAGGAATTTTGAAAATTTAATAATAGATGTCCGATTTTATGGTATAAAGTGGATGATTTTATTTTGGTATGAAATATCCGAATTTAAATAGTATGAATTTTATTTGGTATGGACAGAATTGTATTTTGAAATTTTGAAAACACAATAAAAAGTATGAATTTTATTTGATATGTGTATGAAAGTCAAATGTGATTTTTTATAAAATTAAGACGATATGATTCACAATTGTTAACATATTCTCATTATAACTTGTCATGAGATACTGATGATAATTTGAAAAGTTTGTATGTGTCCCTCTTGATCAGAAAGATCTTTGAACAAATATTGAATAATAAAATTTAAGTTTGTAATTTAATTCTAGAGAATTAGTTGATCAATTCGAACGATGAGGTAACTGACAACAAATCTT